ATCTCAGATTCAACCATGGCAGACGAAGCAAAAGCTAAAGGAAACGCAGCTTTTTCCTCCGGTGACTTTACCTCCGCCGTGAATCACTTCACCGATGCAATCAATCTATCTCCAACCAATCACGTCCTCTTCTCAAACCGTTCCGCTGCTCACGCTTCGCTTCACCACTACGAAGAAGCTCTCTCCGACGCGAAGAAGACGGTTGAGCTAAAACCAGATTGGGGTAAAGGTTATAGCCGTCTCGGTGCTGCTTACTTAGGGTTAAATCAGTTCGAAGAAGCAATCGATGCGTATACTAAAGGGATTGAGATCGATCCAAGTAATGAAGCTTTGAAATCAGGTTTATCTGATGCTCAAGCTTCTGCGTCTAGGTCACGCGCTGCACCGAATCCGTTTGGTGATGCTTTTCAAGGACCGGAGATGTGGGCGAAATTGACTGCGGATGCTTCGACTAGAGGGTATTTGAAGCAGCCTGATTTCGTTAACATGATGCAGGAGATTCAGAAAAACCCTAGTAATATCAATCTTTACTTGAAAGATCAGAGAGTTATGCAAGCTCTTGGAGTTTTGTTGAATGTTCAAATCAGGACTCAGAGTGGTGATGAAGTTGAGGAGGTTCAAGAAGATGAGATGGCTGTACCGCGTACGAGGAAAGAGCCTGAGGTAGAGAAGAAGAAACGAGAACCTGTTCCTGAACCTGAACCTGAGTTTGGAGAAGACAAGGAGAAGAAAGAGAGGAAGCAGAAAGCTCTGAAGGAGAAAGAGATGGGAAATGCTGCGTATAAGAAGAAAGACTTTGAAACTGCTATCAAGCATTACTCTACGGCTATGGAGATTGATGATGAAGATATCTCTTATATCACTAATCGTGCTGCTGTTCATCTTGAGATGGGAAAGGTATAGTTTTTATATGTGGAATTCTCTTTTTTTACATTAGTGTAGAGTGATTTGTTTGGAATGAGGTTATGAGTTTAATTTGTGAATGTGTTTGATTCAGTATGATGAATGCATCAAGGATTGTGATAAGGCTGTTGAAAGGGGTAGAGAGCTTAGGTCAGATTACAAGATGGTTGCTAAAGCTTTAACTAGGAAAGGAACAGCTCTAGGGAAGATGGCTAAAGTCTCAAAAGACTATGAACCTGTGATTGAGACTTACCAGAAAGCTCTTACAGAGCATCGTAACCCAGACACGTTGAAGAGGCTGAACGAGGCGGAAAGAGCAAAGAAAGAGTTGGAGCAACAGGAATATTATGATCCTAATATCGGCGATGAGGAGCGTGAGAAAGGTATTTGCTTTGCATTTATATACCTTGTTTTGTGAGGAAAGAATCTCGTAAAGCTCAGTAAAGGAGATTGAACTAATATTCTTGTTGATACAGGTAATGAGTTCTTCAAGGAGCAGAAATATCCTGATGCTGTGAAACATTACACTGAAGCGATCAAAAGGAATCCAAAAGACCCGAGAGTAAGGCTAATTCATCATCATGTTTGCTTCTATGCTGTGTACAAAGGTTTCCCTACTTGATTGTTTGAATAACTTTTTTGCTTCTTTGAACTTCACATAGGCGTATAGCAATCGAGCTGCATGTTACACGAAACTGGGGGCAATGCCCGAAGGATTGAAGGATGCAGAAAAATGTATCGAGCTCGATCCAACATTCTCAAAGGGATACAGCAGAAAAGGTGCGGTCCAATTCTTCATGAAGGAGTATGACAATGCAATGGAAACATACCAGGAGGGTCTCAAACATGATCCTAACAATCAGGAGCTTCTCGACGGTGTTAGAAGGTACATATATATGTGTAGAGTCACAGCGAGATTATTCACTCTGTTATCTAGTGCCTATGTAACATGTTATAAACTCTATTCTGCAGGTGTGTACAACAGATCAACAAGGCGAACCGTGGTGACCTTACTCCTGAGGAGTTGAAAGAAAGACAGGTTAGATTCAACTACTGTTATGGAACTTCTATATTTTTTTTGTTAAGACCCTGTGATGTTGCTTACAAAATTTGGGATTTTGCTTGCTTTCTTATCACAGGCTAAGGGAATGCAAGACCCAGAAATCCAGAACATTCTCACAGATCCTGTAATGAGACAGGTAAACAAACAAACTTCAAACTTCTATAGATGTTTTCACAATTCACAAATCTATGTATGGGTCAGATCTTGAGGTATCTCGATCTATAGATGACAATATCTAACGCTTATTCTTTGAACAGGTACTGTCCGATCTCCAAGAGAATCCAGCAGCAGCACAAAAACACATGCAGAATCCAATGGTCATGAACAAAATCCAGAAGCTTATCAGCTCAGGGATCGTCCAGATGAAATAAACCCAGAAGAAAAGACATTGGTTTCGATTTCACGCAGATTCATTTATCTTTATAACTACATTAAGATCGGATTTTCCCCCATTTTTCAGACTATTGTGATATAACATTTTCTTCTCATCTCATATCCATGTGTTTGAAGACAATAAAAGCCTTTGTCTAAAAAGATTTGATTCACTTACAATTCTGTATAAACGAAACAGATTCACAATGAGATTCCAGTGTAGTAGGATTAGTCCTGATCAAAAAAGAAGAAAAATTCTGTCTTAAGCAGCAACTTCTTGATCCTTGGCCTCAATTCGGTTTTGAATATTCTGAGGAACAACATCGAACTTATCCAATTGCATTGTGTAAGAAGCTCGACCTTTTGTCATCCCTCTCAATGTACTAACGTACTGAAACATCTCTGCTAATGGAACCAGAGAATCAATCACCTACATACAACAATGCCAAAACCAGTTTCATCAGTAAATTCAGGTTTCTTTTAATCATTCGATTCGATGTTCAAATCCGTGTTGAGGAAAACATACCTTGAGACCACCGGGTTTGTCTCCAAAGCTGTTAATCTGACCTCTTCGTGAGTTAAGATCACCAATGACATCACCAAGATGTTCTTCTGGTGTAACAACTTCAACTCTCATGATAGGTTCAAGGATTCTCGGACCTGCTTTCCTGATCCCTTCACGGAAAGCACCTCTTGCAGCAAGCTGGAAAGCTAGCACACTCGAATCCACATCATGGTAAGATCCATCAACTAGACAAGCACGGACATCAACAACTGGAAAACCCGCAAGCACACCGGTACTCATACACTCCTCAAGTCCTTTCATGACACCGGGAATATACTCTCTTGGCACGGCTCCTCCTTTGATCTCACTCTTGAATTCGTATCCTGATCCTGCTTCCATTGGCTCAAACCGGACTGTAACATCAGCAAACTGACCTTGTCCACCAGATTGCTTCTTATGTGTGTATCTCACTTCAGATACTTTGGAGATACTCTCACGGTAGTTCACTTCCGGTGCTCCAACGTTAGCCTCAACCTGAAAGATGAAAAGGAATTAGAAGCTTGGAAACTTGAAGAAGAGAAAAAGATTTTAGAGGTTATGTTGTACCTTGAACTCTCTTTTAAGTCTGTCAACGATGATCTCAAGATGAAGTTCTCCCATTCCTTCAATGACGGTTTGGTTCATCTCTTCATCACGGGAAAAATGGAAAGACGGGTCTTCTTGAGCAAGCTTGATCAATCCAACTGCCATTTTATCGATGTCTGCTTTTGTTTTTGGCTCAATCTTGACTTTGATGACGGGATCAGGGAAGTCCATACGTTCAAGAACAACAGGGTTTTCCGGATCGCTCAGGGTTTCACCGGTGATTGTATCTTTGAGACCTGCTAAAGCAACAATGTCGCCTGTTAAAGCCACTTTAACATCTTCTCTGCTGTTTGCGTGCATTTCCAAGAGTCTTCCGATTCTCTCCTTCTTTCCTTTGTTAGCATTCAGCACGTACGAACCAGCGGTGAGTTTCCCTGAGTAAACTCTCACAAACGTAAGAGAACCCACAAAAGGATCACTCATGATCTTGAATGCTAACCCAGCAAATGGCTCGTCATCATCTGGTTTCCGAATAATGGAAATTTCCGGGTTCTCAGGATCTGATCCATTCATCGGCGGAACTTCAACCGGCGAAGGCAGATAATCAACCACAGCATCAAGTAATGGCTGCACACCTTTATTCTTAAAGGCTGAGCCACACAGAATAGGCACAAACTTCCCTGTGATGGTTCCTTTTCTAACCAATCTTTTCACTGTCGCCTCGTCAGGTTCAACTCCTTCTAAATAGTTCTCCATGACCTCATCATCCAAATCAACAATCAACTCCATCATCGCCGCCCGATACTCTTGTGCCAAATCCTCAAGATCCTCTGGAATATCCTCGTAATCGAACTTTGCACCAAGCTCTTCTCCTGACCAAACTATAGCTTTCATCCTCACAAGATCAACAACACCTTTAAAGGTATCTTCAGCACCAATTGGTATCTGAAGCACCAATGGCTTAGCACCCAAATTGGTCACAATCATGTCCCTAGTCCTGAAAAAGTTAGCTCCAAGACGGTCCATTTTATTAACAAAGCAAATCCGAGGCACCCCGTATTTATCAGCTTGTCTCCACACAGTCTCAGACTGAGGCTCAACACCAGCAACACTATCAAACAAGCATATAGCTCCATCGAGAACCCTGAGAGCACGTTCGACTTCAAGAGTGAAATCGACGTGTCCAGGCGTATCGATGATGTTGATCCGGTGTTTGTCCCAAAACGTTGTGGTTGCAGCTGAAGTAATAGTGATTCCTCTTTCTTGCTCTTGTTCCATCCAATCCATTGTAGCTGTTCCTTCATGCACTTCACCGATTTTGTAGTTTCTTCCTGTGTAGTAAAGAATCCTCTCGGTTGTTGTGGTTTTTCCGGCGTCTATGTGAGCCATAATACCAATGTTCCGATAATCTTTAAGTGGCACAGTCCGCTTCGCCTCTCCTAAGTA